AACAATGAGAGATGTGAACAAAAAGTTTTCAGTGAGGTACTTTTTGAATCTGGTCCTGGTGGATGAGGAGGACAGAAGGTACTTTAAGCAGCAGGTATGGTACTTCCCATGCCAATGTTTTGTTCTGTGAACGTTTGAAAAACACCTAGAAAGCACCCCTCTCCTAACCTTTGGATTGAGCTGTAACTAGATAAGGGTCTGATGAGGAGGTCAGCAGATCTTTTACACACCCTGCAGGAATCCCAGGTGAGCAATACTTTGACTAGTCTTTTAGTTTTTTCTTTTTAAAATAAAAGTAGTACCTGCCCCACCCTTTTAAAAAAAACAGACAGTAAAGAACCAAGAATGAATTAAAATTCTCCAGAAGTCTACCACCACTCGGATTCGTTTTCCAGATGTGTTGCTCTTTAGTTTATCCCTAGTGAACAAATACAGTTCTCCATGATCACTTCTAAGGGGTACATAGTACCATGGTTTCCTTATTGGAGTTTATGATTTGCAGTTTTCTCTTATTAAACTATTCTTTTATAAATGTCCATGAAAGGACACTCAATTCTAAGACTCCTTAAAGTAGTTACAAACCAAGTTTTCATATGAACATCAATGAAAAACTTTTGGTAAATATTGGATGAAGACTGATTAGATTTGTATTGTGAATTAGATTAACAAATATTTGAAAGTCGAATCTTTGTGTTTGAACTAAAACAAGACAAAACTATTTTTTATAAACATGGTTTTGTCCTTTAGGTTCTCACATTTCAGATGGGAGAAACAAGAACAATTATATGTAAATTAACAGAAAACTTACACAATGAATTCTGACAGTCATTTAGAAGAGATAACACTTACCCTACCAATCTTGCCTTAATGCTGAATAATTATGGGTATTCATAATTTAATATAAAATCTCATTAAATGTACCACTTAAAAATCACTTACATATGGCAGCGCTATTGGATTAAGTATACTGCTTCCCATAGGCCTGAAAGTTTGTGAGTTTAATGTATTACTGATTGAAAGTATTGCCAGTCATGATTTTATGAAGCAGATTATTATAGAAATCTCAGGGTGGGTTGCTTAGAATTAGATAAGCCGAACATGGGGATTTGCAGAATGTAGGGAAAGAGCTCAGACAGGTTTATCTGAAGTGCATTCGAAGCAGAGGGCAACTCAGTTTGGTTGGTGGAGGTGGGAGGTGTAGCCACGGAAAGGAGATAATTGGATAAAGGCTTTGGAAGGCCTGGTTGGAAATTTATCCTGGAGGCACTGAGAACTATTGGTGAATAATCCAAGCACTGTTTTAGTAAGACTAATCTGGTAGTGATCAACATCTCACCTTCCCTGCAATTTGACTTGGGTTTGATTCCTGAACAAGGCTCCTTCAGTGGCAGCCTTTTTGTTACTATGAACCTGAGTAGGTTTCAGTGGATCTTCCACGCTAAGATGGACTAGAAAGCAAGGCCTGGTGATCCAGTTCTGGAAATCAACCTGTGAAGACCCTGTGGATCTCGATGATCCAAGGTGCAGCTGCTCACGGGGATAGTGCAAGTCTGGGAAGCATTGTGTTGCGCTGTGCATGGGGCTGAGCTGGGGCCTGACTCCATGGCAGCTCCAGACAATAATCTGGGAGTGATCGGAAGAAAGGAGCCTTGGTCCAGGAAGGCAGAGCCATCATCTGGAAGCTCCTTTTTCAGTATCCAAGGCTGAAGTGGCCAGGACCATTCAGTGCCCTTGAATGAGGGCAGTGGAACATAAACCAGAGTTTCATTTAGAAATGCTTTAAGTCAGCAAGAGCTAGGCTCTTTTGTCAGGTTGGATTGTTGGTGGTGGTTTGCTGCTGCTGCTCAGGGCAGAGGAGGCAAAAGGCTGTCGAAGATGTGGACTGGAAGAAAGCTCATTTGTTTGGGGAACTTTGAGTAAAGAAGAGTTTAATGTAGTGGTGGTTGATATTCAGGTGGCATTGTCTGTCACGGAGGTGGCACATTAATCTGTGGCTGTTTTGTGTTTGTCTTTCCAGGAGATCATTTTATGGAGAAAAGCTCCTGAAAAGCTGAGGAAACAGAGAACAAACTTCCACCAGCGATTTGAGTCTCCAGAATCACAGGCATCTGCCGAGCAGCCTGAAATGTGAACTGACTAGAGGGTCACAAAATCCTCCCGAAACTGTTGAGATCAAGTTCAGCCGTTAAAGATGTGGGTTGCAGTGTGTAGGGGAAAAAAGGCCAAAACTCCACATGTAATAGTCTTCCTTTATCTTACAGTGCTGCATTTATTTTAGGATGCAACTAAATGTTCTCCATGTATATACTTAAAAATAAGCGCTTTCTTTTAAACACTGAAACTTTCTTAAGCTGCCATTTTTTATTGTACACTTTGATTTGATGATAAGCACTCAGATATGCATACACATACATATTAAGGATTTTCCTGTCAATAGGCTGATATTTGTAACTGCTTTCTGCATAATAGTGAATACCTTTTTCTTCGCCCTTGTCATGTTAATTCTCTACATGCAAAGATTTAAATATTTGTGTTCAAATAAAATGAGAAAACCTAAGTGGCCCTTACACCCTGCAGAGATGCAAAACGGTATATAATTTTTTGTGTGTGTGCAAACTACATATATCTGCGTTAAACACAAGAAATGCCTCTGGAGTGTTTCACTGTAGATGCTTCTGAGACTGCTCTTTCATGGCTTCCTGATTTGTGTGCTCTTTGAAGTTTTGAAGTCTTTTGGTATGAGTGAATTTGTTTTCACAGGATTATGTAGCATGTCATTATGGCCACATTCTTTCTTTCCTTTTTCTTTCAGAATAGGGGAAAGCATATTAAGTAATCATTTGCTGTTCAAGCAGTACCCCTGTATGTTTTCTGCCATGGGGAACTGGCCCTGTGTTGGCATATTAGAATTTGTTAAAACTATAATTTTTCTATAAATACACATTTCTTAACTGTAAGCACTCTTTTTGCCAGGTAGGTGGATATTATTTTCTTGACCTCAAAAGTGCATTCTCCTTATTTCCCAGGGGGCTTTGTGAAGGGACTCGGGAGGGCCTGGGAAGCAGTAGTTATCCAGAACTGGGCACTGTCCTTTGGCCACACTGGACCTTTGGCGAATTAAAGTTCCGATTTAAACCACATTCACCTTATTTCAGTCTTAAAAACACCCTTAACTTTTCCCGTGTATCCAAAAGGGGAAAAAGGTTGCACTCCTCTGTTGCTAGGCATGGGGTCTGAAGCACGAAGTAGGGGGTGTAGGTACCAACACGAAGCCTGCTATGTGGAAACTGCTTCACTTACGGTTTTTGTACCAGCATTTTTTATACACTTCAGCGCAAGTCTTGTCAGTTAGCCTTACTTTCTGAGTAAGCGAAATAACCCCGTTACATTTCTGTAAACCTCTTGATTACTATGGCCCTTTGACAAAACGATTGGTAACCAGCTGTTCTGTTGGAGGAGAAGTTCCATGTGCCATGTGCTGGAGCTTGATTTTAAATCTGGATTATCTGTGAAGGGTAATACTTTCCTTCATGTAAGTGCCTGTTTAGTTTTGAAGTTTAAAAAATGCCAAATATTTTCATGGCCACTTGCATGTAGTAACCTAAAAATAATCAAAGCAATTTAGAAAATCAGTTCTTTAACCAGCCTCAAATTGTGCAGCCATGATGTGTATAATAAAGACTTTGAAACATATGGAGCTTGCATTTTGAATGATTAAAAAAGAACAGCTCTATTCTCAAATCTGTTCTCATTGTCAGATTTATTGTTGAAAATAGGATTTCAGTCGCTTAGGAAGCATAATTGTGATGTTTTTATAAATATTAGTTTTAATTTTAAGTGGTTATATAATGCTCCCTGGTCAATTCTGACTCAGAGCAACCACATAGGCTAGAGGAGAATTGCTCTTTAGGGTTTCCGAGACTATAACTCTTTTTTTTTTT